GGGGGACAGAACAACATGCGGGACAAGAGCACCTTGCTGCAAATGATGGTTGACGGCACAGTGCCAAAAATGGCACCGCACAAGTTCACCATTCAAGAAGCACTATGTGGTTTGTGACCGATGTGGCCAGAAGCTCCTCATTCTTCAAAAGAAAAGCTGCAAGAGTTCCCCGCCATGGAGTGCTGGGATGATCCCTGGCTGGAACCATCAACATGGCGAGGACACAAAACCCACAAGATGTGGCGAAAAGGAAATCGAGTGCAGTGTGTGCAGTGCAAAGGGCATGCGCTGAAGAAGGAGCAAGATTTCCACGCCAGCAAGCAGCTCCTTCGGTGCTGCGGGCAGAAGGAACAAAGCACATTGCCCATGTGCTTCAGACCCAAGGTAGTCACAGATTCAGCGTGAAAAGGAGCGCAGACCAAAAGCATTAAAAAATACATACATACATACATACATCCATGCATACATACATACATACATTCATTCATTCATTGATTACATACATACATACATACAGTCATTCGTTCATTCATTCATTCATTACATACATACACACATACATACATACATACATTCATACATACATGCATGCATTCATTCAGTCATTCATTACATTACATTACATTACATTACATTACATTACATTACATTACATACATACATACATACATACATACATACACACATACATACATCCATACATGCATACATACATACAAACATGGGTATCAAGCGTTCTTGTGGCAGGCCACTGAGAGCACCATTTTGGTCATTGGACTGTACCTCAAGACAGGAGAGACACTACAGAGTGACACCAATGCAACAATAATTGCCAAGGTGTTAACCCTTCTCGAACAGACAACCCATCCCTATGTGGTGATTGGTGACTGGCAGAACCACCCTGACAGCGTGGCCAGTACAGTCCTCCCAGCCAAGTTTCACTTTGGCGTCCTAACACCAGATTGCAGTCTGTTATCAGGCAATGTCATCGATTTTGCCGTCATGCAGGACACACTTGCCAGCACAACAGCCCTCACCACAGAATGGGCAGTTCCATGGAGGCCACGCGCCCTGCTCAAGCTCCAATTCGACATCGAGGAAGCTGGCCGGGAATACCGACAAATGCCCCACCCATGCCCAAAGTCCCAGACATTGACTTCAGGCCTTGGACTACCTATCAATCCACAGCATATGAACTTGAACTTTATGGAGTACCACCGAATCAACCAGCACAGGCATGGGCAGATTGGGTTTCGAAGACTGAACAATATCTATTACAAGAAAACCCATGGGCACCGCAGGGACGAGGCTCCAATCTGCGAGCGGTACACAAGCCACTCGTGGCACAAGCAAGCCAAACACAACTGGAAGAAGGGCAAGCCTTGCGTTCTGGGACCAGCTCAAGGCCAGGTTTCATCTTGCAATCCAACAGCCGGCCAACATGAAGAAAGGTCCAGTTCAAGGCTTCATGCAC